CCCCAAAACCCCAAAACCCCAAAACCCCAAAACCCCTTTATCAATTTTTAATGTTGAAGTAAAAATGTCTTTTTTCTCCTAGATTTTTGCTTCTTAATGCTTATCTAAGTGCTCTGAAGCCTCATAGCTTTTATAAAATATCGTGTTTGTTCAATTATTACCTACTATTCATTTATTTCTTAACTTGGCTCTCCAGCAAGCTGGAACCATTAGGATATAAATTAGAAATTTTAAAGTGTTCCTCTGGGACATATAAGCAGCTCTAAAAAAAACAATTAATGAAAAAGAGGAGGATAATCAAAAATTCTGTTTAATTTATTAAACTTAACAAGAAAGCCGCTTGGGAAAGATCCCTCCTAAAGTATGCTTAGAAGTTCTATTATCAATTATTGTTGCTCGAACTCTTGTCCAAATCTTGCCAGATTTATTCATTTAAAAGGAATTTTTATTGAATGTAGTTGTGACTCTGTGTGAGTCCACTAAGGTTAAAAGGATCACGTTCATCAGACTTTAAAACTTTATTTGTCTTCAACCAAAGTGAATGAATTTAGTCGGTGAAGTTCTCCTAAATTATTTATAAATTATCACTTAGTGATAGATTGATATTTCTAAAATTTTCCTCTCAGAACAAAATTTCATATTATAAGCATTAAAAATCCTAAAACTTTCTAAAAAGAGTTCAGCAGTCCATCAGGCAGTCATTGAGAATTTCAGAATATTGGATAACTTTAAAATAGTAACTCGAAATACCAATCTATTTGCTCGTGTTTTGTTACTTTAGGTCAATTTTATGATTTTTCTCCTAGGTTATTTATGAGTTTACAATGATGTGGAGTTGCTAACTTCATCAAGTCACCGGAATGTTAATTTAACAGTTCAAAGTTTACTCAATTCTAAGCTTTCGAGCAAATAATATGCCCAGAAGGTTGAGTAAATTGCTTCTATTTTTTAATCGCTATCTAATGTCTATAATCCGAATCCCTTGTTCATCTAAGTCCATGTAGGCTTATCTAAGAGGCCAACATGACAAATCAAGGTAACTTTATCAAGAGAGGATAAAAATAGCTTCTACATTCATAAGTTACAGTCTGGTCACCGTTTGGCGCATTAGGTCAGGTAAAATATTAAGTGAATTATTATTTTCTGTAGTTGATCTCCAAAATATGAATACTGTGAACACTTAATCCTAGCAATCACTTAGTGTAAAAAGAAAATAGAGTACAATTTATTTAAAAGAATTTAGAAATTATCATGATGCCTGTGTGATATTTCGATTTGTTTATCACAGCACTTATTCAGACGAAATCTTTTCTCCTTGCTTATTGATCATCTTGGGCATCCTTTGAGCTGCAATTCTGGAAGTACTTTGGGAAATTCTCAAGTGTATAATTCATCAGCTCTTGGATCCTTTTACCTGGGAAATGGAAAAGAATTTGTTCCCATTCAATTTTGTTGTTCTTTTTGTTAGCTCTTAGCAATTTTCTGATTAACTTATGCTCTCTTCTAGATACCTCCCTCATATTGTTGAGTTTGATAACCCTTTTGGTAAAGAACTTCATTCCCTTTTTGTCTACTTGGCTCAGAGTCTGGGATTCAGAGAAAGATTCAACTAAATTCAGCATTAAATTACTATTTTTAGAGTAAAAACTTAAAACAAGTAAACCTTGGGCGTAAGAATTTTTACCTTGATTTCTTAAAGTTGGAAGGATCATTTTCCAATATGGGCTCTGATCATTGTTGATAATTAACTCCAGAACTTCTTCTAAAGGCTCGTTCTGGCTTTCAGCCACTGTTCTGATGATCTTCCAGAGGTGCTTATCGTCAGTCCTATTCCATCTCTTAAGTGGTTCTTTGTCTTTGCTAATTTTTGTCTCCTTAATGATAGGTAAATTCATCTATAAAGAACCATTAGAGGCTTAGACTTAAAAATGTTGTATGCACTTACAATATTGCTCCTTGATGAAACAGATGACTTTCTCTCTTCACCATGGGTCTCATTTAAAGGCCTAAAAGCGGACTCTTCCAAATGAGACTGGATAGTTGACGATGAGGCCTTCCTTTCTCATTCTGGTAGTTCTACAGAAGAAGAATTCTCCAATTGAGAGTTGGTCATGGCCTCTTCAGTATGTTGACTAAGCTGCCTGAGTCTTTGTGGAAGTAACATTGCCGAAAAACCGAGTTTAGGGGCTTTTTGTGCCAGAGTATGAATTTGTGGAATAGGCCTTATTGGCTTTGGTGCATATAACTTCCTGCCATTTCCTCCCCCATTCATTGCTAAGATTCCAATGGGAGAGGGGTTTAAAGGCATATAAGGAGTGCTTTGAGTACTTCATTTCTCTTTTGTCACAAACATATTGATTTAATTTATTAAGTGGTGTCTCTAATTTCCCAATATAAATCTACCCTCTGGGGTTTTGGGGTTTTGGGGTTTTGGGG